GAGGGCGTCCGGAGAATGTGAAGGCAGCTCAGGATGCTTTGCTTGTTCGGGCCAAGGCTAACTCTCTTGCTCAGCTCGGGAAATACACCGGCGAGGGAGAATCTGACGAAGCCAAGAAAGGAATGTTTGTTAAGGGCTATGTCTACTAAGGTTTTCACACTACCAAATCTATAGACTATGAAGAAGAAGATGAAGGGAGATTATTTTTGTTCATACGTGTATTTGCAAACATTTCGATGAAAATCGACTTGACTACTCAACTAGAGAGAGTCGACTAGTATATTTATTAATATATATATTCTACATATTATGCCTGGCTAAATAAGAAAAAAGACATTATGATAAAAAAATCGAAACTAAACCATTTTGTATTTTGACTTTCGGAAAATAACCATTTTAAAACATTTTCAAACTAGAATGTGAATGCATTGTTAGTGGTAGGAAATTAAGCGACATTAGATTCGTGAAATATTTCATAATATAGAAGTGAACAATTTTCACTAAAGGAAATATATAATTAATTCATTAAATGCCTCAAATCATTTTCATTTGGGAATATATTTGGTCCAACCACCTTCCCACCATTTGGTGGTAGGTTGGATAGTTTTTTTTATTTTTAAATTTGTGGAAACTTTTACATAATATATGCAAAAATATTCGAGATACTAAGGACACGTTTGACAGGAATTCTATTTTTGTTTTTGCTTCTTTTATAAGAACTTCGTGAGGAAATTATTTGAATTATTGTTTGAAAATTAATTTCCATACGAACTTTCAAAATCATTTTAAAAAAGTTTTTAGAGAAAGTCACATTAATCAGTTTTCTTTACAAACTCTTATAATCAGAAGAAGTACTTTTATAAAATTAATCAAATGGATTTTAAAGTATCTTTTGGATCTAAACTTCCTTTTGACTCTTTGCATTTTGACACATATCAAATACACTTTTCGAAAACATCCATGCATGTTCGATAGATTATGCTTATTGTCGTTTTTTTATATATATTTTTTAATTCCGGAGATACTTTAGAATGCTCCTCGAATTGATGTTTTAAATTTTCTACACTTGAGTTCAATAATTGATACCTCCCTTCCTCGTTCTCTCTTGATGGAAAATACACAATATTATAACTTTGACTTTTCTCTCTTTTTGGGTACAGACGTGCACGGCATTATCATAGTTTTCTACCCTTTTGTCATGGAAATCATGAATGAAAAATCAGTCGTTATTGTTGACTTTTATTAGACGAGTGAGACCCAATAATAACTATATTCCATAATCTATACAATTCTTGAAAAATTTTAAAGTATGAGTTAGACCCTTTTCTAATACACTTCATACGAAATTACATATATGAAATCACTCGTGCTATAAAAGAAAAGTGAGACTAAAAAATCATTTTAAATAATTGAATTTCAATTTATTTTACGGGATGTCATCAACCAAGATTTTTGTGTATTTTAAAAGAATAAGTCTTAATGAATTTCATGGATTTGAATAAATTTCCACAAATTTCATAGGAATTTCATTAAATATGGTGAAATTTCAAAAAAATTGATTAGACCCTGTTTGGTGCACATTATCAACCAAAGAATGCATTTTTTTTTATTTGATGGGAAATATGTGGTTGAAAAAGAAAGAAAATTTATTGATATGATGGAAAATATTATTTTATTGAAAAATGTGTGGTTGAAAATGAGTAGGAAAACGAGAATGAAAAAAATAATGTGGCTCAAACATGAGTGTATTTTTAAGTTTGAAATTCATCCAAATATTTTAAAATCCATAAATTAATAAATTTTTTTATAAATATACTAGTTACCAATAATACCTACATTTTGAAGGATTTCCTTAAAATTTCAATTATGGACACCTAAATTTTAACGATTTTCATTAAAATCCATTAAAATCTCAATTGAAAACACATAATTTAGAAGGATTTTTAAAATCCACCACAATTTTAATTAAGGACACGCCCCTTAAATTTTAGTACGTATTATTAAAGTCCAAAACATAAAAAATAGATGACAATCTAATGATCTTTAGTTTTTAAATAAACTTATCACCTAATTAAATGTGTACATAACCAATCACATAATTACATGTGGCATGTGATTCAACCTTTAATTCAAATTTCACACTTATACATCAACAAGTGGATGATTGCCACATCAGTATAATGTGAACCATTATGTGATTAGTTATGTACACCTAACATTATTCCTAATTAAGTAATGGTTGTAAATTTTGAAAATATATGCTCATATATCACATCATAATCAAGTGCCACGTGGCATATATTTTTCAAATTTTACACTTGATAACGCAAGGAATGTTAGATTGGAAATTATTTTTCAACGTCGATATAGGATTGGAACGTTAGTTTAGTAATGACTAATGGGACTAATATTGAAAGCAAATTGAAATTTAATGATTTCTTTTGTGATAAATTAAAGCTGGATG